ATTGTATTTGAAACAAACACACACACACACTCTCTCTCTCTCTCTCTCTCTCTCTCTCTCTCTATATATATATATATATATACACCCCAAATGATGGAGATTTTAGGGCTAATCATGATTGAGAGGCGCCATTAATTCTTTTAAATTTATGCAAGAATCTAATCTCATTATTTTTTTTAATTTGGAATTAGTGAGAGATTATATATAATTATTAGACGGCTACAAGATCTAATATTTTAATAAGTAAACTCTAATTTTGGTCCGACCATTGAGGTTTAGTGAAAAGTTAGAAAATGAGGTCTGAACTTTGATAAATCTATAAATCATCCTCATTGTTTGCATTTTGCTCTGAAAATGGTCTTTGATCACTAACTTTGTTAAAAAAAAATCTGTTAAGTAAAGGGCTTTTTTGTCTTTTTTCATTTTTACATTTTGTTTCTTATTTTCATAAGAACCATCAAACTACAGGGACCAACTCTATAATTAGAGTAAACTTCACTATTCTGTCCCCTTGTTTTGATCCCCGTAGGTAGGTCAGCCGGTGGCTCTCCTTCCCTCGACCGTTCCCTCTCTAACAGGCAGACCACTCACCCACCATCCAACCTTCATCTCCCTCCTCTCCGTCCGACAACTTGCAACCAAAAATCAGAAAACCATAACACCTCATCCAACGACCACCTGCATCGTATCCCCATCCCACCACATGTTCAGATTTCATATATAACCTCATTGGAGCCACCTACAACAATAGTTGAATCCATAAACTCTCCCTCCAAAACCTCTCCTTTCGTGGCCACACTACAACAAAATTAGGTTTATAAGATGCCACCAATTTCTAAGCATCCTAATAGACCATTTTATAAGATTTAACTTTTAGGACCAAAATATAAAGTGTTCTATTTAAAGGCGTTGTAATAAGTTGATAGGACGCTTTTGAGTGTCTTAACAAGCTTTTTAGAACACCTTTAATAGGAGGCATCGTATTAACAAATTTTGTAGGACATTTTTGAGAAAGTGTCCTATGTACTCATCTTTTTATAAGACACTTTTTCCAATAGTATCGTATAGAATCGCTAATGAGACGTTTTGTATTAGAGGTGTCATAAAAAGCTTGTTAAGATGTCCAAAAGCGTCCTATAAACTTATTACAACGCCATTAGATAGGATGTTTTAATTTTTTTGGTCCTAAAAATTAAGTCATATAAAGTGGTCTATTAAAACGCTTAAAAAATTTTGACGTCCTATAAGCCCAATTTTGTTGTAGTGTCATCTCACCTTACATCTCCAACTACACCAATCTTCAACGTCATTGACCTGCATAATCTTGCCACAGCTTGGGTCTCTGGTTCAATTATCGGCTTTTGATGTTTCAAATATATTATCAGGGCTGATTCCAACGAGTTTAGGAAACTGGAGCAGGAACTTTGCTTGGTTCAAAGTGAGCTCGTATTCAGGTAAAAAGATCTTTATGGGTACCCTTTACCTCCGATGAAGAGTAAAGGGTTATCGATGTTGGCGATTGTGAGGATCGGGTTGAGAAATGGGTTGTTAAGGCTGCGTTTGGTACATGGAACATGACAGGATGGGACAAAATGCATTGTCTCACATTTGGCACAACATAGGACAGGACAAGAACTCACTGTTCCATGTTTGGTGTGACATGGGACAGAGACAAAAACTGCAACAAGGTGGGACATCGTGGGACAAAAAAGGCTTTTTCTTGTTCCACCAAAATGGATGGAACAAGGTGGAACAAAAATGATACATAAACTAAAATATTACTAACCAACCCTCGTTTGATATATAACCTTAACATTGTATCTTTTAGTGGTCAGCACTACTAGTTGCGGCAACCGCCGACGGCGCCACCCGTAGCCACCATCGATGACCTCCCCCTCCTCCATCACCTCCACAACCACCATCGACCATTGACTACTACCGCCTCCACAACCACCATCGACTACTACCGCCTCCACAACCACCATCAGCCACCTACCACCACTGTCCATCGCCACTACCACCGTTGGCTACCTCCACCTTCTCTTCTACTATAACAACCTCCTCCACCACCTGCATAACCATCGTCGTCCACTGACCAACCACCGTCCATTGCCACCACCACTACCACCATTAGCCACCTCCATGTTCTCTTCTACTACAACCTCTTCCACCTCCACCACAACCTTTGTCATCCATTGACCACCACCGTCCATTGCTACCACTACTATCATCGTTGGCTATATCCACCTTCTCTTCTACTACAACCTCCTCCACCATCTCTACAGCCATCGTTGGCCACCGACCAACACTGTTATCGTCACCACTATGGGCCCACCTTACCTCCACCATCGGCTACCACTACCATTTCCCACCATCACCACCGACTACCACTGCCACCATCGGCCACCACTATCGGCTATGACTACCACTATCTGCCATATTTATATCCTCCATAACCACAACCACAACCGTCCATCTCCATCACTACTAGTATTGTCGGCCACCACCACCTCCACCTCCACCATAATCACCACCACTGCTAACCATCATACCTACCTCCACCACATAGCCCACAATTACCTCCTCCACCACTGTCAACCACCACCACCCCCATTATCCACCATCTTCACGTCCTCCACAACCATTATCGTCAACCAATTACCAATGCTTCTACCTTTACAACCATTGTTGTTGCAACAATCTTTACCGTGCCTTCACCAATTGATAAGGATCTTCCAAACCGAATAAAACATAATTTCTCCTTTATATGAATCGAGTTTTATTTAAATACCATCAATTATATAAAAAAAATTCATTCAAATTTGGTACTATTTTATATTTACGTATATGAAAATTATGTGAGAATGTTTATAAATTAAATTACTTATTTTGTTTGTGTTGATTATAACTATTATATGATATATAAAATCATAAAATAACTTTTGGGCCAACTTATCTAGTTTTGTCATGTCCGGTTCATATGTGAACTCATGTAATACAACGAATAGACAACGAACCGGTTCATATGTGAACTCATGTAATACACATATGTTCATGTGTGAACCCGTTAATTAGTTCACATGTGAACTATTTAACTGATTCATATATTAATTAGTTCATATGTAAACCACACGTGTTTATATGTGAAACAGTTAATTAGTTCATATGTGAATCACAAGGGTTCATGTATGAATCGGTTAATTAGTTTATATGTGAATCAGTTAAAATAGTTTATGTGTAAATTCGTTAAAATAGTTTATATGTGAATTACACGAGTTCATATATGAACATATAGTTCATATGTGAATCATATAAGTTTATATATGAACTCGTTTGCCGTCTATTTGTAAAAGTAACGAAACTACCCTCTCTACTTTTCGCATAGTCGTAATTTTTGACAAATCAAAACCGTGATTATTGACCAGTCAAAGCCGCAATTATTGACTAATCAAAACCGTGATTATTGACCGGTCAAAGCCGCAATTATTGACCAGTCAAATTCGATTTTGACCGTATGAAGGGCTATGATCACTTCTTTACATCTAAAAAATTTACCACTTCTAAAAATAGCCTTTGGCTATATATATATATATATGTGTGTGTGTGTGTGTGTGTGTGTGTGTGTTTTGAGGTTTAATCATTTGAGAACTCCAAATTTATGAGATTCGTGAGAACTTTTATCTTCAGGTTTTGTTTACATGATTTCTTTCAGTCAAAGTATAATATTTAATATATTGATTAACATATATTTGTTTAATAATGTGATTGTTTCGTGTGTATTCGGTTCACAATGTGAAACATATTTTACATGTATTTTCTATTTCACAAACACGTAAAAGATGTTTACATTGTGAACCGAGTACATGTTTAATAAATATATGTTAATTAATGAGAGTTCATTTATTATGATTTAAATATTTATGGAAGATAATAAAATTCATTAATTATAATCAATACTTTATATTAGAAACTAATGTAAAACTTCTATGAAATCACATATTCATCAAATTAAATGGACGGTTGAGATTGTGTTGTATTGGTTGTACAAATGTCAAAGTTTGTATAATAACTCACCTCTATATATATGTATGTATAGTTTAACATATAAATGCAAAACAGAAAGCAAAACACCTACCCAAAGGAAGACCACATCCATATCTTAACAGAATAACCCACAAACATAAATAAAGATTAACCTTCTTTTAATCTATATATCTATTAAAAGAAGAATCATAAGGATTGAATATTAAGATGTTGATAAATTGTGATTCAGTTTAATTAAAATTAAAAGCAAAGACCGTAAGATATCATCATTTAAATATTTCAAATTAGTATATACTTTCATTACACATTTGTCCAAAACAAGCATCTATCTTTTGACTTCGATTTGTTTATTTTTTAAATGCCATATTCAAAAATTGATTTCTTTATCACCCAATTCCCACTCGTATTTTATAAACATCGCTTCAAAATTCAATTTATTAATTAATTTTTCAAAATAAAAACTATCGTTTCATTATAACTAAAATAAATAACTATAAAAGTCCAAAATAACTTATGAATTGTGTTCTATAAGAGAATTTATCTGTGTAGTATTGATCTAATGATTATTTTCAATTAGGATTTATTAAAGGGTGAACTTTATTTCTTATCTTTTTTACTGTAACTTTTATTTTTATTCCTCTTGTATAACTTTTGCTATATCATTTGTAACTTATAACGTTAAGAATTCTGAAATATCGTAAATAAATATAAAATATCTCAATAACCCTAAATATTACTTTTGCTGTCATGCGTACCTGGGTTGAACCTGATAATTTTTTCTATGTTTTTTAGGCAGGTTTATAATATTATAGATGTGGATATTATGGATGTAGTTAATTTTAGTAAACACCGAAGATGAATGATTATGAAAATAATTTAAATGGGTGTAAGGTATATTATTTGAGTCAATTTTCCAAAAAAAATATATTAAAAGTTCCGGCGAAATGATGACGTACCGTCTCGTTTCCGGCAACCGGAGCTAGGTTTGTACCCATCACCGTCGAATCCGTGTTTACACGCACACCGATGACCATCGCTTCCATCCGGTGACACAATCTTCGTACAAACAGCATGACGAGAACAGTTGCAAGTCCCCGGAATCCACCATCCCAACCTAACCATTTGCACCGCCAAAGATATCGCCGTGCTTTTCCCAATCATCTCTGTCGCAACGCCGGAAAACAAAAACCGGCACCCCGTCCTGGTCATGTTTTCATAGTCAATGAACATCCGAGAAATACCACCGGAGTAACAACTCACGTTACCATAACCATCCTGAACGCCACCGCAATTGACGTCGAGGTGGGTTCGTAACATCGTCATCGGAATCATGCAATTCTGCATCTGCTCCGTGCAGTTTTCCATCAGGATCGCGTTAGTCGCCAAGGGAGCGTAGTGATTACCGTAGAGGAGGCGGAGTGCGTCAACAGCGCGGCCGCACTTGGCCGGAAGGCTGACGAGTAACTCATGGGATTTGATTTGGTGGACATCAAATCCACCAATCAAAACGGTGCCGTTGGAGGTGCAATTGAGCCGGATTTCACAGTCGCCGGAGAAGCCAAATGGATAGGGGACGTTCTTGAGTTCGCCGCCGGCGCATGACCGGTTGCAATCAATGGGATTCTGAGATAGAATCGGGGGTAAAATGGAGATTAAAAGTATGAAAATTCTCTGTAATTTGATCATTTAGCTGGGGAAAAGGTATTGATTTAGGGGTTATGGAAAGATTAATGATTCCAAATCGGAGACTTGAAGAAACAGAGGATGGCATTTTGTAAAATATTAATTAAAATAAAATAAATTATATAATCTGATTGATAATTTTATATTATAAAAGTATGAAAATACCAACCGTTTTATATATATATATATATATATATATATTATTAAGTTAAATATCCAACTTGTTACGTAAGTCGATTAATCTCAAAACGACCACATGTTTCATGGGTAATCCAAAATCACAAAATTTGAACCTTCGTGATAACAAATAAATTTTTAGTCTCATATTTTTTTAAAATTTTATTGTAAGTGGTTCGTTTAATTTATAAAAAAATATTGCATTTGTATTATTTAATATAGTTTTATTAATTAAAGTGAATCACATTGGATATTAAATTGTGGAGGTGGTTGTTATATAAGTGTAATCACATAAAAGCATCTACTAATCTTATATAAGTGTAATCACATAAAAGCATCTACTAATCTTACCAAGTACTACTCACATAATTAGTTTTGTCACGTGTTAGTAGTATTTCAAACAAACTGTATTAGATATTGTTGATTTTGTCTGCATCTGAACTTACAGTTTTAAAACGTCTGATAAAAGAATTATCAAGTTTTTGATAAGACAATCTTTGTTTCCCTACCCAACTGATGTGTAATCTCACATCTATTTAGTTAGCATACCTAATGGTGATACAAAATTTTACAAACATTATGCCTATGTACAGTGCACATCCGTACTCCTAAAAACTCGTTATTGTTGAAACTTACGAGTGACATAGGTGGTATTTGTTTTTTAAGAGGTGTTGAAGTCTGAGGTCTGATTTCACTTCTGATTTATAAGAGGTGGTCTTGAAGTCTGAAATCTAGATCAATAAGATTGTTTGTTTTTACTTCTGAAGTCTGAAATCTGAATCGGTCAAACTAGTGCAAAAATATAAATGATAAATAGTTTTTTTTTTTACAAAAGTATAAAAGATAAATGGTTTTTCCTAACAAATCTCTTCCAGCCCCCAAAATATGAACCATTTGATAGAGGGCGGATTAGGATTAAGAGGTATTAAGGGATACGTTTACTACTTAAAATTTCAGAAGACATTTAGAACTTTTAAGCTCTTATTTTAGAAATAAAGCAAACGATCTTAATAATCAAATGTCTAAACGAATCAGACTTCAGAGGTAATAAGAGGTAATTTTAAAAAAATAAACAGACCCATAAGTTAGTTTGAAAATATGCAAGACTTATTATAAAACAAAATATGGTTTTTTAGTTACAACATTGGTACGTCCAATTTTAAATCTCCATATATTTTTATTGTTCGGTCTTAAAGTATTTTGTAATCATTTAAAACGCAACTGAAATTTTGGTTACAATAAACCAGATAACATATATCAAAATCCAATCGGGTCCAATGACACATTTAATTAAATAAAAAAACAACACACTATATGGTGTTTAAAATTATACTCTTTTCAGATCTGGTGTAGATTTGATGTAGCACTCAGAACCAAATGTAGGATTTCACACACGAACACGCCTAGATCTATATGTGTGTTACCTCTAGAAAGGGTTTTTTTTTTTTTGTATAATTTCCGAAAGGCTAAATCAAATTGACTCAATAAATCAGAATCGATTTAGCCTGTCACTTTATTTATATGAACTGCTTTCAGTTGGTCCATAACTCGGACAAGATTTAATAATTATCCGTAATTATTATACTATTATGTTAAAACATTAATATAAATATAAATATTTACAGATAATAATATGTAATTATCATAATTAAATTTTAACACATATTTTCATAATTATCCTTCAAGAATAATTATTTCTATAATCAACTAGATTAATCTAGGTTTTTATAAAAGGAAGCAAACGTATTCTTTGTATGCGACCTTGTAGGTTTACATAGTCACCAATAGTATCTCTGTGTGACACATGTCGTGGGCTTATAATAACTTACATTCTTCCACTTGCATATGATACACACTAACACAGACAGTGGTAAGCGTCTAGAAATACGTCACCGTCCTAGGGTTATGTAAATGTGATTTTCCTTTGAGCAATCTGATTGATCCAATCAATCATATGGTAGTACCATTCCTTGTCTTTTTGCTTCTCGATATTTTGTTATGAACTTAAGGCATATATCTATCTATCTCACACTTTATAGTTCAAAAATTATGTTTCTCGATCCCAACATATTTGATTCAAGGAGGCACTATTAGTTTAACTAATCCACTTGTCTATGACTATGTGAATCAAACTATGTCACGGGAGGGTCTAAAAATATCTCTCTCAACTTGGAAGGAGAAAATCTCATATTGCATGTACACGAATTATACACAATTCATGTTATACCAAATATAGCCCTTATAAATACTCGGTTAAGGGTAATGTTAAACTATATCAAAGTATAACACTCTTGATGCATTAGGTTCCGATACACATTTAAGGTATGAGAATAAGAATGTCCACCACTTCCGGACTCAACTTATGATGCCGGTCTATGAGGTGATCCTAACTGCGGGTCTTGTCCAACACTTGTCTCTTGGTCAAGCGCATATGAATCTGGTTGCATCGATTACTCTTCCAACTTGAACTATGATCAGACTTCACAATGATCTTCATTTATTACTAGTTGATAACTCTCAATTTTGAGAGTTATTTGTTGTTTAATACTCCTACTTTTATATGTATTATGTATCCACTTTGCTTCTATATAGTATTTTTGGTCTAAAATGTTTTAAGAGGTGATGAAAGGTCAATGATTTGATTATTTTCTGAAAAATCGTCACTGTTGGAAAAATGCCCACTGTCTGCTTACTTTCTGCCCACTTCGGTATTGTCTTCAAAGCAGATTTGGATAAATTTAAATACTTGTTCTTCTGGGTATTTAAGAGAATTAATTCTGCAGTCAAATCCAAAAATCTCACAATATTTAAATGAAAAGGCCTTGTCGTATAAAAAATGTCTTAAAATGTTTTTCTCCTTATTTTAATGAAAATGTCATCTCTACCTTTTCCTTATTTTAAGGGAAATGTCATCTTTACCTTTTTCATTCTTTCAAAAAAGGTGACAAGGCCAGAAAAGCGTACAAGAAATGATATAGAGTCTTTGCCCTCAAGATTAAAGAAGGTTTTCTTCCTTTGAGTAAAAGGGATGTCCATCTCTCCATTTCTCCTATAAATTGAAGCATTTACTCTCTTTGGAAGACATCATCTTGGAGCATTTACTCTCAACCGAAGATCTGGAGCAGTAGAGCAAGTTTAACTTTCTGTATTTATTTATTTTCTCGTATTTAATTTTCAGTAACGTTTCTGTGCATTGTATGCCCTCTGTGGGCAACAGTTTTAGTGAAATTTCTTTCAACTCAAGTATTTTTTATGCATCTCTCTTCTTCTTCTTCTATGTTTTGTAATTTCATTATGAGCTAATCACCCCTTTGGGTGTAGGTGTGAGTAAAACTTAAAAATTTGAAGGCACACTTGGGTGTTGCCATTTTTTTAATTCTTAAGCTTGGTCACTTTAAGTCGGGACTTATGCTTAACGCGGATAAGCCGATCACTTTGAAGTGTTAATATTAGATCCTTGATCCAGAGAATGGACAGATTCAAAATACGGCTTAAGAAATGCATAAAGATTTGTGAGAGTCTTTGATAATCACGTAGAGATACGGATTCTGCATGTTTTTAGCTAATGTTCAAATATTAATCGAGATTTATACTACAAAGAGATTTGAGTATAAATCTTCAGGCTAATGGAACCAGATATCTTTTTATCACTTAGCTAATTCGGCAAGTTTAAAACTGATAAAAGTGGACATTTTGTGGGCACAGTATATAAAAATTCACTTTCGAGAGATTGGAGGTTTTATAGAAGTCCCATGAGTTTCTGACCATACTGTTCATACAATCTTTTTAAGGGAAACTTACACCCATACCCATTTGTTAATTTTAAAGGTTTATTTCGTATTCTAAGCTTTGCACCAACAAAACTCAACTTTTATTCACAAACCGAAACATGCTCAAGAAGTTCATAAAACTCTCAGATTCTCAGTAGTTCAGTCTCTGTGGAAACGATCTTGGTACTATACCACTCTATTATTTGAAGCGATCATAGTGTCGCCGTGCACTTGCACCGCCACTGTGGGGACTTTGTGCCCACTGTGTGAACACTTACGATTCTAAGCCATCACTAGTCCATTAGTAATAATCGATCAAAGACAACTTTAAATAATATGATCATCACATTTATATAAGATACTTAAACATGCTAATAATGAACACAAAAATGTTTGACGTAAATACTCATATCTAATATGCCAAAACAGATAAAAACATAATTGTTTTATTGTTCAAATAAAGTTTAGTAAAGTTATTGATCAAATCCATGTTTTACGAAAACTTCAAGCATATTGCACTAGAATGAACATCATGCTTGCTTTGATTTATTGGCTTTGAGAGAGGATCTGCCAATTTTCTAGTCGAATATGCTATTGTGATTGTTGTTATTCTAGCTCACAACACCACTGTTTAACATAAACACGTACCTGACTGCGATTTAAAGTCATCTTGGTCGGTTTGGAAACTAGCATATGTATACCCTTTGATACACATATCTCATCCCTGACCACCGTACAGTAAGAACATATCCTTAGTTCTTTTCAGATACTTTTGTAATTCTTCACTGTTACCCAATGAGCATCACTGGTTTGATTAATATTTGCTCGTCATGCTTAGTACATAACATGTCATACATGATAGGAAAATGTATTAGTAAAATACATAAAGCAACATAAAGAAAATTGCTTAAGGTACAACATTAAGGAAAATGTATTAGTAAAATACTTGTCCCTTTTAACTGTTTTGTGATGTTTTTAATGATACAGTTTACTATGAAAATTTACTTTAATTGTAAAGGATTACAAGGAAAGAATAAACTTGCACAATATTAATAA